AATTTTGATTTTAATCAATACTATCGCTTTTATTGTTTTGCATTTATCATGTCCGTATAATTTTGTACATTGTAATACAACTTGTAATGAAACGCTCATTATAAAGCAAAGAAATGTTCGAAAAAACAAATTATTCAGTAGGTCTTAGTAAGTTTTCTTGTTTTAATATTTTATTTTGGTACGTGTTTTATGCGTGCGATATATTTGAACTTTATTCCAACGTGCGTCGAGGGAAAATATCAGCAAGTTCGTTTAAAATGTTCGTTCAAAATGGATCATCGTTCACGAATGTAACTGGATATGGAAATCGATACGGAAGAGCTGTCATCAAGCATCAAATAATCGAAATTATGAAACGGCCGAGCGTTAGTCTTCATGTATAACGATAAACGTATTATCTGGTATATATGTATTATATAGCATTCGCTATTGTCACTTCTAAATATTCATTATTATAGAAAATTATATTAAAATATCTGCTCGTACAAGCGGCGACATACATTATGTATATATATATATATAATATTATAATATAATATATATGAAATTATAAAATACACAGTAAAATTTTGTATACCAAAAGAAGCAATTTTTTGTGATAAAATTGCCCTGAGCGATAATTTTGAGTTGTTATAATAATTGATTTTTAGTTGTTACGGTAATTGATATTATGGAATATATGAAGAAAATGATAGCGCGATTCATTAACTACAAATTGCTCTTATTTGAATATTATTTAAATTGCAATTTTATACATATTTACATGTAATTTACAAATAAGAACAAATATATATATATATACTTAAAAAATACAAACACGTACATATATATATATATATATACACACAAGTTTCTTTTTTTTATGCGTATAAATGTTCGATGCTGTATATAAAAATGCGATCGAGCAGCTCAATTATCACGCTTATCTTTTTGTGATTTACGTGATGTCATCATGACTAGACGCTTTTGTATATGAATCGGACATCATGCCCGCATAGTACGTGAGTTTACAAACAGGAACGGTACCTAGTAATTTTGTACAAAAACATTGCTATTATTCTCATTGCGTGCTTCCGGCTTACGACAAAATTTTCGAAAGATTTCGCGCCGTAATTAGATCATCGAGAAAATTCAAAGGTAAAAAACTTTATTACGCGGATACATATCGCACGTAATATGTTTATTAATTAATTAACTAAGTTAGGAAATATTGCAAAATGGAGATGTTTTTATTTGTCATTTTTATCTAATAAGATGAAATCTGCTCCAATAAACGGGAAATATTTGTCAGAATTCCTTGCAGTTCGAAAGCTACACATAATGAACAAAGCGAGAGTACTTGGAACGAGTGAAAAGTTTATTATGTTTCTAGACATTCCGTATATTGTACGTTATAACTGACAAATTTGAATCAGCAGAATTATCTTATCATCAGTTCAGTGAACTTCTCTATCTCATGAAAGCCTCAGAAATATATCAGAAAAACGCTCTGAGCGACTATCCGTCAACGACTATCCGTGATTGCAATCTAATATTACAAACTTGTTGAAATGAGACTTCAATTCATAGCAATCGAGAATTTGTAGTCGGCCTTTATGAAAACAATGTACCAGGTGCTTTCCGTGCGATGACACAAGTCGACACAAGTATCATTCTATCTTTGTCACTCTCTAAATATCAAGAAGGATAGAACGATGTTTCGACCTGCGCCACTAAAGCACCCGTTGCAGATTCACAGGTTTCTATATGCGAGTCAGCCGACCGAGTCCGCCACCTGGACATTGTCCACGATCTGACACATCAGTGTTGGAGTTTTGCTGCAAAAGCAGCGGTTGGCAACGTTGCGGCTGGCCTTCAGATAACACGAGGAGAGAGAGAGCTTACGCGGTGGGGTCCGGACAACGGGAGGAAACGAGAAGGAGGGGATCATAGAACTGTACGAACGACCGACTGTATTCCGTAGTGTTCACGCGAGTGAAGGAGAGGAACGCAGTTCCGAGGAGAGGTTCTCGCACGACATCTTATCGGCGGAGATCATCGAGATTCGCATCTGCGAATCAATCAAAGAAGTCATCGAAGAAGTCGACGCTATCCTTCGCAGCACACACCCTTCGAAGGTGCGAAGAGGAGGTACGTGGCCCAGCGAACGTCAAACCTCCGTCAACTGTCTCGGACGAGCTTTTCCACGCAAACACACTCGACGAGAGTCTATTTGTTTCGAAAGAAACGTGGGAAAGGGCCATATCGATCCGACGCACTTCTCAAATCCGTATCTCGTTCGTTCGACGGCGAAGATATCCTCGACGACGTCTATTCTTGCGAATCGATATCTTGAATCGATATCTCCATATCGCGAAACTCGCGAGTGTACTCTGGTTCGTTCAACTGGCTGCGTTCAGATAAAGTTTGATTATTAGTAAGGGTTGAATCCGTGATCCTTCAAAGGCATATATTGACTTCTCTAGATAGCAAACGGAAAGCGAGAGACGTAGTTGCCACTTCCCTCAAATGGAACTTTCATCCGACAAAATATCCTCCGCTCGAGAAATTACGCGATCTATGCAAATTTCGGAGGAACCTATTAAACCTAATGGCCTTCACTTTTACGAAGGTCGTGTCGTTTGGCTCCGTAGAAACGTTGCTTGTGTCGACATCACTTGTTTAAGGTGGATGATTAGATAACGAAAATATATGCAGTAATTTACCGTGTCATTAATATTGTTAGGTGTAATGATCGCATGACGTGGATGTTTGTTCGCTACGTTCGATACATCTGAAGTGATTTGACAAGTCATTTGAAAACGTCAGTTATCTCACTCGAGTGTATAATAAGTATATCTAAAAAAAAACAAAACAATTTTATAGCGTAGTCGAACTTTGATAGCTGTGGCAACCAAGTGAATGCTCGTTACGTAATCTCACTCAGCTGACCTCGTCATGATTATATTGAACTACTCGTGGCACGTTGAAACGCCGTGATGATGATCCTAACGCATACGTGACGTCGTATTTCTAAATTTGTTTACAACGTTACTCTCAAAGCTTATTGTTTGCCCACCGTGTAGTTAGCCTTTCTAGAACTTCCAGAAGCGTCATTATACGTCACAAATACGTGGATTACACGATTCTATTCTTTACACAATTTAAAAAGAGATAAGATCGTACTTTCAAACTCATTCACTCGTCACTTCTTGCGTTACGCGAGAGGAAAAAACATTTTACTTATGTAATGTCGAGGGTACGCGAAAGGAAACAATTTTAATAAATTCTCTTTTCTTTTAGATCGACTGTACAAAGAGGGAAAAGCGAGAGGTCGTCGAGACATGGCGGAAATGAGAGTATTCACGCGGAGCGAGATCGAAAAAAGCGACGATAAGGACAAAGTCCTTTTCATCTTGCACGACAAAGTATACAACGTCCGCAGCTTTCTCAATGAGCATCCGGGCGGAGAGGAGATCCTATTGGAACACAAAGGCATGGACGCTTCCGAAGACTTCGACGACGTTGGGCATTCGAAAGACGCGATGGAACTGATGAAGACGTACCAGGTCGGTGTAATCGCTGATACGGAAAGGACGAACAAACTGCCGAAAAAAGGCTGGATGTCGGGATACGTGAAGGAATCGGAGAAGAACGCTCAAGGATCCAGCCTGTCTTTTTATCTGCTCATGGGTGGAATCGCGCTCGTAGCGGTCCTCTTTTTTTACGTGTATTAATCGATCCGCTGGAATTAATCCGGGAAAATGCTGTGAACGTGACAGTGTGGCATGTGATAGAGAAAGGTATTGGAACGAAAAAAATATTCTTGTCTTGAAAAAAATGTCTTTAATGCCTCTGTGGTCTCCAGGAACGTATTTTAATAATTAACTTCTCCGAAAGAAGTTTTATTTGACACACATATATATATATATCGGATCGTCGTTATATATTAATGTTTGCATGTTATATTGTCAATGTAAAAAGTTGTTAATTTTAATCGGAATGTGTGCGTTTTTTAATTCTATTGGAATGATTTTTGTATATATAATATATAAAATTAATCGCTAAGATTAATCGCTAAGATTACATTTAGAAACGTCAATTTTAAAGCAGTCAGAGATTTTTAAATGAAATTAGAGCATGTTTCCACGGATTAACTTTAATCGTTAAATCAAGCGATTTTATTATACGAGTCACAAAACAAGTTTTAACTGATTTTATCTATGGTGTTATTCTGTCTGTGTGTATGTGTGTGTGTGTAAGTTGCAAATTGCTTTAATTCAAAGCAGCCTGCGTTGCGGACGCGAATCTGACAAATTAATTTGGTTTTAATTAAAACCATTGGTAATACGTCGTCAATGTTTTAAAAAATTAAGAATCAATTATTTTATAGAAATAAATATCTTTTATTTAATTTTAAATGAATTATAAAACCATAAGCCAAATAATTTCAAAATTATTGAAAAAATGTACAATATTAATATATATTAGTTAACAATATAAATTTTATTTAAATGTCGTAACAAAAAATTTGAAAAATTATTAACAAACGGAACAGATTATTGCAGCTGCGTATTAAAAAAATGTTTAATCATTGAATTATACTAATTCGATAAATTCGATGTTTTTAATAACGTGTATATCTATAATAAATGTGTTTTAAAAAATTTGTTATCTCAATCTATATTGCTTTTATAATCTTTGAGATACATCGCTCATAACTCGCATTTATTTTTTAAACAAGTAAAATAAATATTTCCACTATGTTATCCGAGATATTTTTCTTATTGACGATAAGTCATAATCTGTTGTTTGTTTTCATAAGATAATTTGTTTTTTAGACACGAAACTTTTCCGCGTAGAATAAATTATACATCCCACTTTCTATTCCTACAAATTGTTGTAAAATATATATAACGATCACTAAAGAGATCGTGAATTTTCATAATCCAGAACGTTTCTCATCCGTTTTTCCACAAGAAAATACAAATGAACGAATCGCGAATGTTCGGAGGATAATTATTGTATAAGAGTATTTTAATGGAAAAAACTCAAGTGTCAGGTGGTTAATTGGAACGTAAGAATTTAACAGAATGCAAACGCGACATGTGAAATTGAGAAAGAGGGAGAGAACGTGGAAGAAACCCGACAGAGGAGCCCATTTAAGACTAAATGATACCTACATATGTTATTTTACAAGCACATACATTATCAAACAAAGTCGATGGTAGTAAACAACAATTACACTTTTATATATTGCCTACTTACATTGTATTGCAAGAAACACTTTTCAAGAACGCGTGAGCTGTTACCTGAAGAGCTTCCATTGTATTCGTAATTGGTTTGATCCGCTTGTTAGGTACTCTATGTAATTGTCATATTGCCTATCGACACTAATTGTAACCCAGGACGGACGTTACATGCCCGCGGCCGTCCACGTGTCGACGTTTACACGCCGGCCATCGGGGGGGGGGGGGGGGG